CACATTCAGTATCCTTTTTTAAATTAGTTCCCCTTTATTATAAACACATTCAGTATTCTTCTTTAAATTAGTTCCCCTTTATTATAAACACATTCAGTATTCTTCTTTAAATTAATAAATAAAAACGCATTCAATATTCTTCTTTAAATTAATAAATAAAAAATCATCCAGAAAAGACACTAGAAATCATAACATGAAACTTACGAAGAAAGAGCTTTGCTTTAAATTATAAGGATCTGACAACTCTCCACCTGTATCACCATCAACAACACAATCCTGTAATTGAAACGCCATTTATGAAGATTTCTCACTAGTACTAGCTTGTTCATAAATAAGACTTGTCTATTAAGTACTTTTGTTCGTACCAGTTATTTCGTATGTTTATTCATATCTAACATTCTTCTTGGCGCCTTACTGTAAGTCTTAAACGTTTCTACAGTGTGATCAGCACCTAGTACAGATAGTAGGCTTTCAGTGGCACGAACTCATGAATCAGAAACAGTGGATTCACCAAACCTTTCAATGTCTACTTCAAGGTTTTGTTACACGAAATCTGACCTTTGTAACCAAGGCAGTACTTTTTAACTATCAACTTACCAACATGTTTACGTACCGTTCACTGTACATATTCCATCATAGCGAGTAATTTTATGTTTTTACCATACAGAATATTGATCTGATAAAACAACAGGGTAAAATAAATCCTCTTCCAGGTATTCTACGTAGAAATCCCCAGCGGTAATTAGTGGGATTAACTGAAGTACTGACGGTAGGTTTGCTTGATTTTTGTGTGTATTTGTTTGTTTGTAATTAAGCACAAAGTTACACAATGGGCTATCTGTGCTCTGTCCATCACGGTATCGAAACCCGAATTCTAGTGTTGTAAGTCCGCTGTGCCACTGGGGGGCGATTTTTGTGTGTAATTCATAGTATGAGAAAATCATAAAGTCCGGAATCCACAAGCAGGTTTACATAAATAATTTAGAAAAATGTGTTTAAACATGTGAAGGATATGTACCCCATCGGTAACATTAAGGTTAACGTAACCTAATTTATTATAAAAGGAATAATGCGGCGCTAAAAAAATTGTACACGAAGCTTTCATCTTTAATGGTAACACGCTATGAGATCTCACCATTGTCTAACATGTTCCTCACGGGGGCGTAAGTCGGAGGGATATAACGCGAAAAATCGGATTTCGATATTCACAGTGTGCACAGCACAGATAGTTCTTTGTGTAGCTTTGTGCTTAATAACAAACAAATAAACCGTCCAAAAAAATTGACGTTGAAAGATTTTAATACGATAACATTTTGGTCGATGTGTAGAAATTGGCAAAGTACGTCTCGCTTTAACTGCACGTCTTAATTTGGTTAATTCACCATGAATCGTTAGAATTAAAACTTCCGGTTTCAGTGCAAACAATACGACTAATTTTAGCATCTAAGTGTTGACCTCTTAAATCTAGTCCATAACTGAAAAGCTCTTCTGTACAAAAATTATCAGAAAAATACAGGTACACAATTTTCCTAAGCATCCAAACTGTGCCATCGAAACAATGACATCCACAAACTTTGCCATCGAAACAATGACACCTATACATTCGGCAATAAGAACATACATTCAAACCAAAGATGCCTGGTAAAACCATTCCACGTTTCCTTATAATCTGAACATCACCACTCATAAGAACCAATAAGTACTCATCTTTATTACAGAAGAACGACACAACTTTTCTATCCACTTTGGCAGATAGTCAACAAGAAAAGTTAATGCCAAACATTAAATAACAACTAAGTACCTTCTATGCCATTCTAAAAACATGGAAAAACTTACGTGAATCATATCTATCCATTTTTTCTGGATCATCTGTAAATATTTCGGTTTCTTCACAGGATTTTTCATAAAGTCTCTGCCGTGTAATTATTAACCTCGCCACTGGTTTCATAGGAAATCCGGTGGGATCAAAAAAGGGAGATTGTGAGCTGCTTGGGTCATGTGATGTTATCCTCTTAATCTTATCTTGTGGTATCGTAGGCGATATCTCCGACTACACAGAACAAAAACCAATAAAACATTATACTATTTTATACGTTAAAGAGGCTTAATAATCTCGCATGCACTTTGATTCTAAAATGAAAAGTCAGACCAAATGGCGTTTGAGCTTATATTTTTACCTGCCTTAGCTAAGCTAGTTTGATGGGCTTTGATACTGAACGAAGGTCATGATCGCAGTGTTTTGCAACAAAAAAAGTTCTTATACGGCTCATTTGTGGATATTTCTGACTAAAAAGTCATAAGTGTTCTGCCAGTGATCGCGTGCTTACTAATATTATTAGTCTATTTGTTTCAATACTGTGATGGTCCAAAACACTTTCAGAATTCACAAGCTTTTACCTTGTATATCCACCTCTAATACTGTTCTATGAGAGAAGGCGTCTAAACTGATTAAAGTAAGGTTTCTTTATATATTTAGTTTTTGTGAATGGACTTCTTGCATTTATGTGAATATCGAAATTTAATTACAAATCATAAGTATACATGAAATTTCTCTACACTCCTTCCATCTTGATGATATTAACAAATATTTTCAGAATAATATTTTCTTTCTGTAGTTGCTAAGCCTAATTTTCATGTTAAAACCGCTAAGATTCGTAACTTTGTTTATTTGCTTATTTTAGCAATCTAATGTTTATTTTTAAATGAATAACTTGATTTATTCAGTTTTTACTGTAAATAAATAACATATATTCAAGAAAAAATACATCGTAAGGTCGTTTGTGGTATAAACTAACACTAAGCTAATAATTTATCTTCCTGAATTGAAATTAAAGCTCATATTTCCTATCTTATTATTTTTATATTTCATACAAAAGATGAATAGTGTGAATATAACTGGTAAGTAGAGAAAGCGACTAAACAATAAATTTAGAGTGTATGGTAATTTATTATTCATGTTCCATACTTGGTGCGTAATATTTCAGAAGTAGGTGTGGACTGTTCTCATAACAACGAATTTTACAACTTATACAATTGGGTTATAGTTAACCTAATTCTTTTAATACAATATAATGATACGGGATTATTCTGAATAGAATAACGTGGTTCAAGGATTAACTCACTAAGTAGGATTGTCCATCATGTATTCCAGCGTCCCAAGGATAAAGATTCATGACCTTATTGGTTATCCAGGAACAGTTTTTCATGCACAGTTCCAGAGCACTGACTCCAACAATCCAATCGGGACTCGGGCTAAGTTTGCTCAGTAGCGACATCAGATGGTGTTTTTTATCCACTCGAAATACAGCAAACGTCTTTCCGTTCAGGTTTGGATGCCACAGCCCTCTTGCTTTGACAATAGTCCTAATTTTATCTGACTACGAAAACAAAAATAGGGGGGGGGGTAGTGTTTACATTTTACAGTTGCAATCTGTTCAGAAAATAAATATGACTGAATAACTGATCACGAGGAAAATAAAAAGAATTGGAAAATTTCTTTATTCTATAAAATTGTTAACATTTAGTTCTTAAAAGAGTTAACATTTCAATAAATAATCAAATTTCATTAGGACATCATAGAAGGAAGAATGTGAAAGTGTCGCACTTAGTAATCATTAATCTTTTAATCATTGCTAAATAAGTAATTACTTCTTGCCTTATGAGTTCATGTGTTATTAAAGAAAGAAAAATGTCTTTAAACAATTTATAGAAATCTAATTAAGTTAGAGAAAATAGCATCTTTAGTATTAAGACGTAAAGCAGAGATAGGTAACATTATGTTCATGTATCATTATAAGAAAATTACCGGGAAAAATACCTTCAAACGAACTATACAAGTATAATAAATATGTAGAGTTAGAGAAATAGCAGCTTTAGTAATAGGATGTAAAGTAGAGGTAGTAGCATAATATTCATGTATTTTAGACAAAATATCAAGCAAATAGTACACGATTTTATTTATCTAACATGTTTCTTAGCTCCATATGGAAATGAAATGGCATATCAGTATGTTTCAAAACAGCATGTGCCTCTTAAATCATTATGTTACTTGACAACGACTGATACTGGGGTTATATTTACAAGTAGCGTTATTAGAACAAAAATAATGACTTTTTGTCTGAAGATTTTGAGGTGTTTCTATAACAAGGAAGGTGTAGCTTGATAAATATCTGCATTGCACTTAAAAACAAAGCTTATAAATACTACATAATATGGATATCTTTTACATTTTATGCTAATACTTAAGGCGACAAACACGTACTACAGCGTTTCTCGAAGCGTGGGGCGATCCCCCCCCCCCATGGGATGCAAATTATCTCTTGAGGACGCGAGCGACTAGGGTAGAGTTAATAGTGCAATAATGCAAAATTAATGAAAATAAGTAATTACTGCAACACATATATCATTTTCATCTGCATCCGCGTGTTATATCTCACCACTAACAACAACAAAAAAAAAGAGTGGACTGCGTGCAAGAAACCATATTTATTAAAGGGGGGACGTGGATGACAAAAGTTTGGGAAACGTTGATGTAGTGCATTATGTGATAAACGGTTCTCTGTTTTTATTACTCGTCTTTCCATGATTCTCTATTCAATATTTGTATAAAGATATAACGAAAAATCTCCTTTATTAAATGATTCGTATTAAGGAGTGCAAAAAAGGTTTAAGTACCGTTTCTATATCTTCTGTATAAAAACGTTTTAACGTGATATAGTTGTTTTATGTCTCATTTAGAGGCAAATCTTTCTAATTTCACATCACGACATTTATCGAGTCACGTCAAAATACTTGCAATGAAACGAGCAAAACACTTAACTCGTAAATACAGTCAAGTTAGACTAAAGGGACCATATATATTGTTCAAATGATTAAGTTAAATAAGACATAATTGTAATTGGAGGGTATACTTGGTCCTTCCTTTTTCTTTGGCCCTGTTGCTTTTTGTAGATATATAACGTTCAACTATCTTTACATATTTATACATTTTTATCTAAGTTGGTTCGTTTTTTTGTATAGTGCTTGATTATGAAGCTTGTTATTTTATGAACTTGGCCCTTAGTAATTTGAATCTTTTATCCCCTTCCTTTTGTAGATATTTTACTATGACCAGCCCATATTTTTTTAACTTAACTGCTTTGGTAAGATATCATTACTTTATGTTTTAAAGTGCCTGTTTTCCAGAACACGAAATTGAATGTTAATTATAACGTATATATTATTACTTATTTTTCATAAAACTTGTTCTTAACAATTTATAGATTTATTTCATCAGCTGATCGAACGGATGGAAAAATATTTAGTTGATTTTACTTCATGATTATTTAGATAAAATCATTTTTAATGTTTATATTCCAATTCAACCAAAGAACTAGGAAAACATTAAAGGTATTACTAAAAATAATCTTGTCATCTTCTCGACAACATTATTACTAATCTTAATATTTTCACACAGATTTGAAGAGACTTTACATTCAATAACTTCAGTAAATTTTAGAGTATTGAAACCAGTCGCAATCCACAGTTCACATTAATCTGTGTTAATCTGTACAAGGTGATGTGCCCACGTAGTATGTACTCCTTTGTTTACTGTATGTTTCGCATTCCGTAGTTCACATTAATATCTACAAGGTGATGTGCCCACGTAGTATGTACTCCTTTGTTTACTGTCTGTTTCGCATTCCGTAGTTCACGTTAATCTGCACAAGGTGATGTGCCCACGTAGTATGTACTCCTTTATTTACTGTCTGTTTCGCATTCCGTAGTTCACGTTAATATGCACAAGGTGATGTGCTCACGTAGTATGTACTTCTTTATTTATTGTCTGTTTCTCATTCTCAACAAGAAGGAAAACAATAATTGTAGTATGCTTTCGGTGAATATTTCTCTTAATCAATAACATATATTAAATTACTCTTTTCTGTGAGACTGTACAGTATCTAAATCTGTTCAGAAAGACTAAGAATTGTGGTATTAATAACATTTGTCACATTCAACCAAAAGTCTGGTCCTTATATCAAGACACACGGTAGAATGTCGTGCGGCCTAAACAGCCCGCAGGACACACTGTGTTGTTACTAACAGGAGTGATAGTTTAGCAATTTTCTGTAACTCGGACTGTGGTAATCCAAACTATCACATATTTTTTGTGGATATGCTCTACTAGACCCTTACTTCACAACCAAATTTCAAGTTAATCCATAAAGAAATACACGAGATATAATATTTTTAATTTTAATTGAATTTCTTCCTTTTTTTCTTCTTACCGAAAGTACGGAAATTGATTTGATCAAAAAACATACTTAACTTTCATGGATATTTTTTACATCTGGTACACTGTTAGGTCTTTACAACCTACAATTAGGTGTCAAATTTGATCTAAATATAAGACACATGTGCAAAGTTATCATTAAAAACCGTTCAAATTTGACCAAAATGTTTGTGCACGCCTACGCAAAAAGTCGCGTGAGCTATCGGTCTGAAATTTTTACTATAGCTTCAACTAAGAGGATAGGTTGGCCGTTTTTAGTTTTTTGTCATTTGGATTAAAGACGGCTGATTTAGAGCAGAAACACTATAGGTTGAAAGCACTAGCAGATACATAAGTATTGATTAAGCCAAGAAAACTATCAGTTTCTAGCTCAAGCTTTAAAAAGAATCAAACGCACGAGTTTGCTAAATTCTATAAAATTCTCCTAATTAAAGAGCGTCTAGCGTCACGTGATATTAGCTTAAGTAATTAGCGTAAATAATGATGCTTGATACGGCTGTGCCAAGTGCATGCGGGTGATGACAAGAAACTGTTTATTTAGTTTCCATGGCGTTACTGTAAAGCTAATGTTGGTTACTATTGAGTGTCACTTTCTTACTTGCTGTAGTTTGTTGGTGTGTATTGACAAAAAGTCATGATATCTAATCAAAAACACCTTAGTAGGAAAAAAAAGGTGCAGCCAAAAAACATTGAGTGTGTAACTTAAAGGAATAAAATCAAAATTGGCGGCCAAAGTGGTAGCTACACTTACGACATTAATAAGAATTTGATAGCAAATATTCATTCATGAAATAGTTAGGCAGTGTATTTTGTTTTATCCATTATCATGCCCTGTTGCTACCAGCTTCGCCGCCAATTTTGATATCATTCCTTTAAGTTGCACGCTCAATCCTTTTTTGGCCGCACCTTTTTTTTTACCTCAAGTGTTTTTTATTCGATAGTTTATAGTCAGAGTACTGCCTTTTTTCTAACTTGGCTGAATTCACTACTATTACTCTGGATTTGAATTATAACTGTATTATTATTCTGTTGTATTGTAGATTCCCCCAAAGAAATATAAAATTCTGCGACACTTCTGATTGAACATGTTATTTTCAACACTAACATTTACGAAATAATTACGACGAATAGTAAATTAATAATATAAGTTCTGGCTAGCTTTTTCTTTGTTCTTAAAATGAACGAAATTTTGGAATGGCTCTAACATGAAATACTTCTGCTAAAGAAATTCACAGAAAACAGTCAGAAATATACTGAAACAAGACAATATACACCAATTTCTAAATCTACATTGTTCACTTGAAAAAAAATTCTAACTAAAAAAAATTCAAACTTTAAGGTTATGTTGAATAGCAATTGAGTTTTGTTTACTAATACGTTAATCATTCAAAAGATTCTATAATCTTACCTCAGTCTTCAGTTCAGATTCAAGTTTCTTTGTGGTCCCTAACTCTGCCAGCTGACATAATCCCCTAGAAGCATAGCCACCGTATTCCCACATCCGGAAATCAGCCGTATGCGAAGAGCCGATAATGTCCGAAAACTGTGGTAATAATTCATCTAAAAAATGAATACATAATTAAAATTGGTGAGTGGTAGAAGATCTTTGTTATATACTTTTCGCTTGGACCTATTTATTGTTATCATTATAAGTAATAAATAAAGTATTGTTCTCCAGTTCATATATATATATAGAGAGAGAGAGAGAGAGAAAGAGATTTAGAAAGAACATGCCAGAGCAAAAAGTTTAAATTCATTAATCAATGTACGTAAGTGCAGTTCCAGTATTTTCAACATACAAATAAACATACTAAACAGAAATTGGTTGGTAGAAAATTAAAGCCTCAAAATGGACCAAAAATGAATAATAAAATTTGATTTTTATTTATAAATCAGCAATTTCTTAATACTGTACACACAGTTCCTAAAATTGTTCACACTAAATGGCCAATGAAACTTATACTGAGCTTTACAGGTGTTTATACACAGTCGTAACGAATACAAGAATAGTCATTCCTTCAAAGTAATGCTGGGTGAGGCCTAATGATTGGCGTGTCCGGACTGTCAATTCTTGGATTCATGGTTTTAGCACCCCGTTGCATTAAAAACACATTCGCAGTTTAGGGCGTGGATATTCTATAAAAGTAACAGTCAAATCCCACTATTTGGTTAAACAGGAGTAGTCCAACAGTCGTTGATGAATGGTGTTGATTAACATCCTTTCCTCTGGTTTATGAAAATTAGGAAAAGAAAATTCTAGAATAAAAAATAAACGAATCGTTAAGAGCATACTTACTGGATGGAAAGTCTTTTGGGTGTGTATGTCGAGACCATAACCCTTCAAATGAAACTTCATATTTAGCTTCGTCACACGCACAGCAGTCTTCAATGATATCTGGCTGTTCGTCTTTCCTTTCTTGTTCTGTAAATGAGTGTCTAAGTATTAGCACCAGTCGGTGAGAATATGTAAACGTCAAACCAACTTTTTCAATTCTATAATTTTTAGTACAACACATACAGACGTTCAACTCAACCCACCCAGGTTTTTTTAATTTTATTAACTTTAATAACATTAATGTCTACAAATCAATTTTATTCGCGTGTGCATTGTATATATATATATATTGGTAAACACACGTGTATCTAGTACTAACTACCATCCGGAAAATACACGTGTATCTATCTAGTGCTAGCTACCATCTGGAAAAATCACACGTATATGTACTACTAGCTATCATCCGAAAAATACAGGTGTATCTAATCTAGTACTAGCTACAATACAGAAAATACACGTGTATCTAGTGCTAACTACCATCCGAAAAATACACGTGTATCTAGTACTAGCTACCATCCAGAAAATACACGTGTATCTAATCTAGTAGTAGCTACCATCCAGAAAATATACGAGTATCTAGTGCTAGCTACCCCCCGGAAAATACACGTGTATCTAATCTAATACTAGCTACCATCCAGAAAATATACGTGTATCTAGTACTAGCTACCCCCCGGAAAATACACGTGTATCTAATCTAGTACTAGCTACCATCCAGAAAATATACGTGTATCTAGTACTAGCAACCATCCAGAAAATACACGTGTATCTAGTACTAACTAACATCCGGAAAATACACGTGTATCTAGTACTAACTAACATCCGGAAAATACACGTGTATCTAGTACTAACTACCATCCGGAAAATGTATGTGTACCTAGTATTAGTACCATCCGGAAAATACATGTGTGTGTGTGTGTTTGTTCTACCTACTACATGGAAAATACAAGTGTAATTTGTACTACCTACCTTCTGGAAAATACATGTGTGACTTGTATCATCTACCATCAGGTAAATATGACTTGTGCTACCTGTCATCAGGTAAATGCAGTTTGCTTGTACTAATTGTCAACAGGCAACTATATATGAGTCTAATTTTAGTTTATGTTTGGAAAGTATCTCTATCTCCTAAAAGAGATAATTTGAAACCTGAAATATTTATTCACTTCTAGAAAATTACGCATAACAATTAAACTGACCCAAAACGAGAAGGTTGCCAGGCACTTTGTTTAATGTAAAGTTGATTTTTACTGTCAGTCATTATTACCTCTTTTTAAGTGCTTGAGCGATTAATAAACAAGCAATTATTTTCCATGAAAAATATTTTTTTTATTTTGTATATCTTTTGGGGAAAATGCCACACTTTTCATTAAAAACTTCAGCATTCTATGTATATCAGGTGAAGTTCTCTTTCCTCGGTGTTCCATTTCTAGCTTTATCTCGGAAACAATTATACTTCTAACGTGGGAAAAAGTAAAAACGAAAACCATTTTGATCTCATAAAAAATCATACTTAATTTGAGGTATTAACGTTATGAAGTATATACATTTCAGTTTATTTTATTTTCGCTAACTTTTCTTCTACGTTTGTAAAAAATATAGAAAAGCAAATACGGTACTTAAGCGTTACTTTTGAATAGAACTGAACATGAAGATTTGAATAAATGTGGTTTGTTATATCACACACGTGACAACATCTCACATTCTTTTCGAGCCAGTAACTTTATTGACTCAAATAAGGTATTGGGGAACTAGTCTCCCGGACTTAATTGGTTTCAAGCATGGTCACTAGGTTACTGAAGTGTGTAATACCAAGTTTTCTGACTTCCGTTAGTGAAGACTTAGGAAATAATATTCAATCATAGAAATCTATTAAATCTGCTGTTGTAAAATGGATAAAAGTGAAATGTTTGACTGAATAAATAATCCTGGAAACTTGTAAAATAATTCTGACTTTATAGAACACATCCGGAATTATTGAATTATACCTGTGCTCCACGAGTTTTTCTAGAAAATCAAAAATCTTGTCATTTAAAACGTTTTATATAAGTTTACAAGACTGGAAGATCACTTAGTAATCTAATCTTTTTCTAGAGAGTTAGAAAGAGATAAGTTTCCCAACTAAATATATGTTTGTTCTAATGTGTAACAGATAATATTAATCCAAAATTCTAAACGTCTGTCTTCTGTTACTTGATTACAAGGTTATGTTTAAAAAAAAGGGGGTATATATCTTTATGTTAGCAAGTGGAAAACATTGAAAGTGTAGGGACGTGTGCACCAAAAGTGTGGAAACAAGGTAGGTATGTGCATGGTATAATAAAACTTTCTCTGTACAACCTCGCAAGGAGTCGTGTCCAACATATGGCCCATGCCTACTTCGTTTATTTTTTCTATCCTGTGTGTATGCAATAAGCCAGGTGGACTAAACTTATCAGACTTAGTTATGCTTATCATACAATGACTAGAGGTTTCTGTGAATCGGATTATTGGGGGCAATAAATATATTGTAAAGTTTGTTTATAAGACACCAAAAGAATCAAATGTTCGTGTGGGCCCATAACTAATGGTTTAGTGCTTTAGGCATTCGACTCGCAATCTGAGGGTCGCGGGTTCGAATCCCCGTCCCACCAAACATGCTCACCTTTTCAGCCGTGGGGGACATTATAATCTGACGGGCAATCCCACTATTCGTTGGTAAAAGAGTAGCCCACTTAAGATCATCCAGAAAAAGGCCTGCAAAAAGTTATATCTCAGCCATCATAAATATTATGGCGTTTTGTAACATGTGGGAATCCAAAAACACTAAAGACAATGGGCAAAGGCTATTCCCGTGCCGCAGACAACAGTACGCAACGTTATCAAGAAGGATCTTTTACTGAAAAAAAATAGACACGAGTCGCGTGTACACAAGCTGCTTTCACGATATAGCAGTTCAACCGTGGCATACGTCAAGTAGTTGAAGAAAGAAAAGAGTTATCATGCTATTCCATATGAAGACATACTAGTCAAGTCGACGGATATTGAGCCTATGGACTACTACACGTTTGGACTGTTGAAACTGGCGCAGAGAAATCTTCGTCCTCATACACTAGTTGTATTATACATAGCCTGCAAGAAGAAGAGGAATGTTTTGAACATGAAAACCTTTGGCAATGAGAATTACACTGCAGAGCTATCGTTAAGATGCACAGTCGTGTGATAAATCAAGGGCATACATTACGACATGGATGTGGAAATTTTCTAAATCGTTTGAACATAGCATACTCAGCCTCTGTAGCACAGTCACACTTATTACTGAGTCCAGCTGTGGATGTGACCTCTACAATAAGTGTAACTGTGAGAGGAGACTGAGTCCAGCTGTGGATGTGACCTCTAAATAAGTGTAACTGTGAGAGGAGACATTAATAAGTGTAACTGTGAGAGGAGTAGAGGTCACATCCACAGCTGGACACATTGTCCAGCTGTGGATGTGATCTATACTCTTCTTAGTTTGTTTGTTTCTGGCAAAGCTCCTCAGACTATCTGCTGTCGTCCCTAATATTTAAATACCGACCACAGAGAAGGCAACCCGCTGGCAGCACCCAACACCAACTCTTGGGTCTATTTTTACTAAATAATAATGCGATTAACCGCACGTTATAACGATATCTCGTCTGAAAGGGCGAGAATTTTCAGCATCGGGTTTAGATCCCTTGACATACAAATTGAGAGTCGAGCACCCTAACCATCAAGCAAAGTGATTGTTAAATATTTTCAATTCAAAAACAACTCTTTTGGTTTACTACTACGTTGGTTGACTACAATTTACCAACATTTTATTAGAAAAAAAAACAAGCTTAGAAAATAAAGTAGAAATATTGATTTTTTATAATTTCTCTGCTAATTTACCGTCTTCACATAAATCTTTAGTCAAGCCTCCGTCGTCCATGTACCAAGCATCTTTGTCTTCTGTAATTGTCGCTCTGTAAGATATAAAGATCTCATTAGTATGCAGACAATATATGTAGATATAGATCCCTTCTTGGAAAGTTCGCTACCATACAATTAAACAGTCTATAAAAAGACTTATGGACACTAAATATTTCACAAAAGTTAAAGTTCAGCAAGTGTAAAAATAAGTCCAATCTGAGTTAAACTTGCTTCAAAGTTGGTGATAAGCTCTAGGCTTTTCATGGTCCTTTTTCAGGAAAGTTTTAAAGAATAATTTCTTAAGTACTTTTTATGACCTTAGTGCTTTTTTTTTCGAACGCTTTTCAATACTTATTTTTTAAGAGGTTTAACTAGATGCAATCGATAGCGTGTATTACACTAGGTACGCTAGCTTTTACCGTCGGAATTATATTGCGATAGTACGACTTACGAACACTTGACAAGCCTGAAGCCGCCAGTATGTGTAGAAAGTTAATCTCGCTTTATAATAATGACAATACAATCTTGTGTTGTTCTTGGAGCTACTTTGTCTATCGTCATTCATGCTCAATTCCATGGTTAGATTACGCACTACTGCATGGCATCGCAATTTCTATTGTAACAAGTTTCTGTGTAGGACAGCGAAGTCGCTCTTAGATCACACATCTTGACAAAATTTTCTCAGAGCAACTTTTTTACGTGGATTTCAATTTCCAAGACCACTTTTAAATACCCCAAAAGAAAAAAATATCATTGAAGCTGTATTAGAAGACTTATGTGATAGAACAAGATTGGTGTGATTCCAGTTATTCAACCATCTTTCCCATGAAAGCAACTGTTCTATTTCGAGGTGTGGTTGGAAGCTCGTGAACCTTTGGCTTTAGAGTCAACTTCAAATTATTGTTAATTACCTTATTAATGGTGTTAAGACACATGGCCAGTTTCATTGCAATGAATATGTTTTTAAGGGGAAGCTCTTTTTCATAATCATAGCCTTACTTTGTGGAAGAAAGCTTCTCTAGATTTGTTGGGGTTGTGGTTTCTGTCCTAAACGTTTAGGTCTGAAAGTTTCCGCTTCGAATGGTTGTATTTTATAGCTATACATCACTTAACGACCTCGGTATACAAATATCCTTCTTCGTTTAGAGCTATAGCAAAAGTCTGACTAATGTAATAATGAGCAAGTGTGATTATAAATAAGATTACGACACTTATGATAAACAACATTGTTTATTGACAAAAAGGGGACATGGATAAACGTTTCGGAATTCCATCTTCGGTATCTAAAGTAGAATAAATGAATTTACATTAGTCTTTATACATTTTCAAAGTACA